TTCATGTGCGCGGGTCAAAATCATGGGCTACTTTGACCTGAAATCCTGCACTTAATTCAATCAATGCTCAGCAGGGAGTGCTGGTCTGGCCCTCACGGGCCCAACCAGTTTTACACTTGCCTGCACTGCCTCAGGCCAGGGGGTCAGATGTCCACACCTGGCGGTCACAATGTGGCCGGGCTCCCACCTAAGTCACTCGATTATTCTTCACCATGGGATGGAAGTAGAATCCCACCAGGTGGGACAAAACCAGACAAGAAGGGTGCTGGTTGAAGCAGGTCCACCCTCCCTGCCTCAGCCTCGGGGGGCCAGAGGCTGCTCTGCTTCTCACGCACCCCTGCCTGCATCCTCTCGTCCTGGACTTTGCTTCCTGTTCTGAGGACAGTAGCAATAGGTAGGATGGGTTGAGCATTCATTTATGCTAGGAGAGGGATTGTATGAAAGGTAAGAGTCCAGTTCTGGGTTTGAATCCCTGCTCGGCTGTGCAACCTTGGATAAATTACTTAAACTTTCTGAGCCTCGGTTTTCTCATCAGTAAAATGGGGCTGCAGTAACATCAACTGGTAGGGCTGACATGGAGTGACCAACCTTATACCCCTTTCACAGATGAGGAAATGTAGACTCAGGAAAGTTAATGTCACTTGCCCAAGATGACACAGCACATGAGAGGCATAGACCCAGCTCTGGGTGGCTCCAAAACCTCTGCTTGCACCCGTGGGAAGTCACTTGTGTCAAATGAAGAAACCTGGCCCCTCTGGGTGCATGGTGGGGACCCCTCTACACCTACACCTTAGGTGAGACACACTGACCCGTGTGGGGCTATAACTGGATTCCACCCCTGGGAGTTGACAGCCATGCCTTGCCTTGCTGACTTTGGTCTTTGCAAGCTCCTGGCAATCCTTAGCTTCAGTTTCCACCTGTGCACAATGAGTGTGGAGGGCGTCCTCCTGTGGCTGGGTGGCAGGAATGCCACCAGGGCGCCAAACAGGAGGCACAGAGCGTGGCTGCAGGGTAAATGAAGTAAGTCAGGCTTTCTCATGTCCTCTGCCACAGCCTCTGTGGCTACCACCTGTGGTCTTGCACTCCTCCTGGGGTGCCTGGATGCCCAGGGCCAGGGGGCATGGGCGTGGGGCATGTGTACCTATGGCTATGGACACCTAGGCCCAGAGAGCACGGGGTGCGCAAATGCACACGTGGACACTTGTGCTGAGAGGGGAGGGGGAAAAGGGCGGCGGCGCTGAGGCAAGACTGCTACTACGAGACCACACGAGACTGGAAGGGAGATGCCAGAGAGGCTGCTCAGAGATTCGAGGGGTTCTGGGGGCTCAGCTGCCCCCCTCAGAGCCTCCTAACCCCCCTGCCTTGCCTGCCTGCTTGCATAACAGTGGCATAGAGTAGATGCTCAACAAATACGAACTTCTTTTGTCCACTTACGGTTTTGGAGTGAGGCTGCCTCCAGTCACCCCCACCCGGGCGACTCCCACTCTGTTGATGTGTGGGTCTGGTCCTGCCCAGCGGCTCCTGTGAACTTCCATGCTTGATCTTCACATGTCACAGGCTTGATCATGGGGGACACTCCATGATTGGATGACCTTGGTGACTCTCTTCTCTGGGGGACTCAGTTTCCCCATCTGTGCCATAAGTAACTTGGCCGAGATCAGCATCTTTTTGATGAGCTGCATGGCGATCATCTAGTAAGAATACAGCTCCCTGGCCCTGCCCTCTGAAGACCTGCCCCAGCAGGTGGGTGGGGCCGGGAGTCTGTTTCAATGTTCCCCAGGTGATGCTCACCCTCGGTCAGGCCAGGAGCCTTGCGCCAGCCTCGTCTCAGCTTCTTGAAGTCTCCCCAGGCTGCTACTCCAGGTGGGGGCCTTGCTGCCCATCTCTGCGTGCTCCCCCCACCTCTGGAGCCACCTTGTACCCCTGCCTGGGCTGGGAGCCCACAGGGGAGAGATTAGGAAATGTGGGTTGTAAGCAGGAACGATTTTCCAAGTCAGTCAGGAACTTTGCCCAGTGCCTTGGGACATCACAAGCCCCACGGGAACCGTTCCGGTTGCCTGCTGGGGATGAGGCCCCCGCAGCGCCAGCCAGGCTCAAAGCAGCTTCTCTATGATCTGGGCAGACGGAGAAGGAGAGTCCTGGAGCCCTCGGTGGCTTTTTCAGACTTTTATTGCACTTTTTTCATCACTTGTAGTGCGGCAACCGGTACAGGCATGGCAGGCAGGGGGCCCGGGGGGCCAGGCAGGCCTCCCAGCCCCGGGTGAGTCGTCACTCTTTCTGGGCTCTCTGGCGTTCTCTCGCGGGCTCTTCTCTGCTCTCTCTGCTGTTCCTCCTGGCGTCGCCACGAGGCCGCCCTTATATGCCCAGTCTCTCAGCCCAGGTGCGCCCACCTACGCATGCCCACACCCTACTCCAGGAGTCCGCCAGCAGGCACACACCTGCAGGGGCCTATCATTAATGCTAATGTCGTGAGGGCGGAAAATCCTGACAATTTCCATTTACCCTACATCCCTCTCAGCTGGGAGGATGCGTGCTGTGATGTGGTTGGGTTCCCTTTCCTCCAGGCCTCCGCTCCACCCCCCATACAGACGCGGGCACACACACACACACACACACACACACACGTGCACAGGCGCACACACATGCACACGCACACACGCACACAGGCACTAACTGATACTATCCAGCCCTGGCTTTGCCCACACTTTGAAACAGCGGAATTCTCTGGGTGAAGGAGCGGCCTCCCCAAGTCTTGTCACTTGGGTGCATGGACTGTTTCAACCAATGTCAGCGGAGGCTCTGAGGACTCAGGAGCAACTTTTTCTCTCTTAACTACCTAGAAGAGAGAAAATGGTGGGGGGGGGGGCTTGCCCAGAATTAGGATTTTTACTAGAAATAACCTTTCATCAGAGAAGCCTGCCTATACTGCAGGGTCCCCGCTCCCCTCCCCACCCCCACCTCTCTCTCCCGGTCTCATTTCTCAGCTCAGGATAAATGCCCTTGTTTTGCCCCATTTACCACAGGCTGTTACATCCATGTAGATTCTCCATACGTATGTAATTCAATGTATTCTTTTTCCTACTCATCCGTTTGATATTATTTTGATGGCCTGACCAGCCCAAAAAGAACCCAGGGGGGTGGGGAGAAATGTGGGGGTGCAACTAGACCTGTTCATTTGTTTCTAAGGAGTCATGGTTTTGGGGAGGCATGGGAAATGCGTGTTGGAGATTGTGTGATTTGTTCTCGAGCCAGCAATATATGAAAGTGCTAGCAAATCCGTTTTACCTTTGTTGATTTGATAGGTGAGGAAAATGCTATTTCCTTGCGGCCTCATTTGCATTTCCTTTACGACTGAAGGGAGCAGCTTTTCATGTGTCTAAGATGCTTTTGTTCTTCCTTCCTCGTGAACTGTCTGTTTATTGCAGTTTTGCATCTGAATGGAGTTCCTTTTCCTTGTGTTTTGGAGAGATCTTCACACAGCAAGAAGGAAAGTCCTTCCCTATGTGAAGACACCCCAGTTTTTTTACTCAGTAGTTTTTCTGTGGAAGAAATCTTGACTTTTATGTAGTCAAACTTACCAACCTTTTCTTTATGACTTCTAAGTTTTCTATCATATTTTAAAAGGTCTCTATACTCCAAATTAAATTTTTAAATCTTCTAATAGTACTTTCTGGCTTCACTGCTCGAGTCGAAGCCTTTCACGTGTCTGCGATCCATGTTAGAACACAGCACAAGGCAGGGATCCAACTTTGTTTTCTCATCGTTCCACATCATTTAATAAACACTCCGTCTTCCCTGTGATTTGAGACCCGACCTTCTCCACTCACCAAACTGCTGCTGCTATTTGTTTTCATTCTACAGTTTCTTTCTTTTCCACTGGTCTGAGTCTATTCATGTTGTTTTAATCACCAGAGCTTTACACTATTTTAAATATCCCAAAGCTCTAGGCCCCCTCACTGTTCTTTTTTAGAAGGCCTCTGCCTATTCTTGCTTGGTTATTTTGCTGTGTGAACTTTAGAATGAGCTTGACTAATTGCAAAAAGGAAGAACTTGGGGCGGTGGTGTGCGTGGGCAGGCATGCCGCCTGCCGCCTCTGGGCCGCACATGGGGAGAAGGCAGGGCGCTGGCTGCTTACAGGTGATTCAGGGATGTTCTCCCTTCTTGCCACCTTAATCAAGGAGGACTTTCCGGAGGAAGTGGAGGTGAAGACGGCAGAGAGGGAGAGGTGAAAGAGAATCTTGGAGCCAGGAAGAAAGAGGCGTCTTGGCAGAGAGGATTAAAGACACTACTGGGGTGGGGGGAGAGGCAGAGGGAGATGAGCTTTCTTGGAAGAGGAGCCAAGATCAAAACTGCAGGGAGGTTTCCTTGCAGAAATTGGAAAGGAGTGGGTAGGTGAGGAGGTGGCCAGCTGGGAGGCCTGGGCTGGGCAGATTGAGGGTGGCCTGGACTGATGGAAGCCGTGGCTGGAGAGAGGCGGTCTGCGCTGAGTCACGCCGCGGGGCTTCAGGACAGCGCCCTGGCTGCATGGAGACGTCAGAAATGGCATCGAAGCCCGAGACCCCAGTCTGCTCCTCGCACAGGCTGGCTCCCAGAGACCAGGGCTCACGTTCCTCAGGGGGACAAGGGTCCCTCCCCCAGGGCACTGTGGCGTGGGGGTTTGACTGAACAGCTGTGATCAAGTGGGTGTGTTTACTCCTGGAGAGGACTCAGAAGCCCAATTTGGAGAGCATCCTTGGTGCCACAGAAGCCTGTCGAGGGGGTGCTACAGTTTTATTAGAAGTTGTAATTCTCCAGGCCAAAGACAGGAGCTCAGAACAGCAGGGAACAGCAAGTGCAGAGTCAGGGAATGACCCCGATGGGGCCGATGGCTGACATGGGGAGAGGAGCTTGGGCTGCACTTAGCCTTGTCAGGAAAGGGTGCTTGAAGAAAGAAATGAGTGCCAGGGTGAGAATGAGCAGGGAGCAGGGGTAGGGGAATTCTCTGTGTGCCCAAGGCTTCACTCACCCAGACCCTATCGGCCCCAAACAGATGTGTGTGCAATGCTGGCAGGTGTGTGTGCAATGCTGGTGGGTATGTGCAATGCCGGCGGGTGTGTGTGCAATGCCATCATGTGTGTGTGCAATGCCGGTGGGTGTATGTGCAATGCTGGCGGGTGTGTGTGCAATGCTGGCAGGTATTGTGCAATGCCGGCGGGTGTGTGTGCAACGCTGGCAGGCCATGTGCTGGCAGCTGTTTTGTTGACCTTCAGAGCCCCAGTGCAGGGCGGCCGGGGTCCTCTCCCTCTTCTGCCTAACATAAAGCTGGCTCTTCTCTTGGCTCCCTTCTGGGCCAGGTGGCTGGGGAGCAGCTTGCCTACCCCAGGACTTAACAGGTTTAGTTGCTCAGCAGTTCAAATCACAAAATGTCGTCAGGTCCAACTCCGTGGGGAACTTTCCACCTGAAACGCCGGACTCAGAAGGCTCATCAAGGCCTGCGGTCACTTGGCAGCAGCATTAGGGATGGGACCCGGCTGCGGGCTCTCACCCATGCGGGGCCTTCTGCACGCTGCAAGCACATCTGCACCCCACCCCGGGGACCCCACCAAATTGCAGGAGTCTGCCTGTGCCAGGCCTGGTGCAGGGGGCTGGTCTTCCTTCCAGAGAGACAGCACCTTGCGTTTGTGTTGAGCTCAGGGGTCAGTCTTTTGAAGGACTGTGTTTCTTTTCAGTGTGAGCGGCTGGAATCTCTGCTGTGGTTTGCATGTTGTGACACAACCCACACCGCGTGTAAGAGGTCCTAGTGAGCTCTGCAGGCAGCTCATGGGGTTTAGCAGAGAACACACTTGCCGAGGTGCTGAGACTCAAGGTCCATCTGGAAGTCTCTTCCTCTCTCTGGCCCTCAGTTTCTCATTCTGCAAATTGAGGGGATTGGACTAATGAATGAGTCTCAAAAGGCTTTTCCAACTCGACCTTGTCTGGTGTCTGACAGGGCTTTTAATGCCCGTGACACTGTCTCAGGCATCCCAGTGGGGACAAGGGTAGGGCATCCAGTGTCTTTTCCTGGGGGTGGGATGATTGGCATGAAGCTCTCAGGCCTCCCTGGGGACCCGTCTTGTGCCTTCTGTTCAAGCAGCTTAGTGCTGAGAGTGGTAGGGGGAATTAAAGGTGGGTACAGGAAGCACTGTTCCCACACCTCATTTCTGGAAGAAAAGTAGCTGCTGAAGAGGCTCCCAGAGCCCCGACCTGAGGCCACGGTCCAGTGGGGCGGGGGGGCGGGGAGGAGCGGGGAACAGCCCAGGACAGGAAGGGCCGGGTGAGCAGAGAACTAGCCTCGCTGCCAGGTCAGGCCAGGTGGGCACCTGCTGCCCTCAACACCCCAACACTTCCCTGCATACATGCAGCCTGAGGAGCTCCCAGAAGGAATGTCTGCCCTCTCGACAACTCAGAGGAAAAAACTGCACGCCACCAGTATGCCCCAAAAAGGCTTTGTGAGACTGGAACAACATATGTCTGGGGAAGAACTTTCTATCTTTTGAGTATTTTTCTTTAAATAATTTAAGCGTGCTTATTTATAGAACAATCTCTTAATCCCGACATCTGAGGTCCTCGGAAGGTCTAATTCTGCTGTTTGTTTTACCTGCTGATTTTCACTCAAGGCACTGGATTTCCTGTGTATCCGGCAGTCACTTGTATCTCGTAGTTGTTAGCTTGTGTTCATCTGGGATTTCCTCGTCCCTGGATTCCTGGAAGAGTGGGTAAGAGTGTCAGCTTCAAAGAGGATTAGCATTAGCATGCCAACGTGTTACAAAATATGGCCCCAGTTTAAGCACATTTCTTTCTTTTTTTTTAAAGATTTATTTATTTATTTATACAAGCACTGGGTACAGTCAGAAGTGCAGGAGGGTGAGAGGATTCACCAGAGACAGAGCGGGGAACAAAGCAGGCAGACTGACGAAATACACTGCTGAGGGGAGCAGTGGGCGTGACAGGAGAGGTCTGTTGCGCCATGTGGGACCCTCCGTGGTGGCCGGGGATTGAACCGGCGCTGCAGAGGCTGCGGGCAGCTTCACAGCCCAGTGCTCAACCGCTGCGCCACCAGGGGAGGGCCTAAGCACATTTCTTGATTTGGTATTTTCTAAATCACACAAGCAACGGACATGTGAATGCCAGCTTGAGAGGAGGGGGCCATGAGTCCACACTCTCAGGAGAAACTGATGTTTTTTAACACAGAGCTCAGGCCAAGACAGACTCCTTCAGTCTCTCTTTACTGATGGGGCCAACTTTTCACCCGAGGTTTAGCCTGTCAAGACTGTGGATTTTATGTTGGGGTCTCAATTGCTTGGATCCCCATGTGAACTTTAAAACTCAAGACCCTGTGCTAAGGAGGTGGCTGTCACCCTCAATGGCGCTTTTGCATCTTCCTGTTCTGGGCACATCTGGGGTCCTGAGGGTGGCCCCCTCCATTCTGTGATTTCAGTACTCTGAGGAAAGGAAAGCATTTCCCCAGCATTCCTGGGTGCTGTGCAATGGGGCGGGTTTTAGGGTGGCCAGTGGGCTCTGACATCGCACAGCTCGCGTGTCTTATTCTTACCACTTCTCCCCTCTTTTCCTGTCTTCCCCTAGTCTTTCTCTTCTCCTCTCCATATAGAAGCCACACTTATTTTCTCCATCGCAAAGCAAGCAAAGCACATCATTAGCTTTGCCAGCCCTGAGGGAACATTCTGGTTTCCTCTCTTTGGTTCTGACTCTGGTCCCTTAAGCTGGCTGGGGAGCAACCCCATGTGCTACCCCCATGTTCCACCCCAGCCTGGGCCGTCAACTTCACCTCCTGCGCAGACTTGTCAGCACCCCTCTTTACTGTCCAGAGCACCTCACTATTCATCATGTCAAGATGGGTTCATCCGGGAGCAGCCTTAGGTCAGAGCTTTTTATAATCTCTTTGGAGCTTGCTTTCTTTGAAGCACTGTGAATATTATGTGTCGGAATATCTCCAAGTGTCGATCCTCAGATTCAAATGTGAGTGCCAAGCCGTCACTCCCAGCTCTGCCCACTGGCAAGGTCCTAGCCCATGAGCTCTAATTAATAGCTCAGAGGGGCTAGAATTTGGCCAGCTTCTTCCACAGTCAGGGAACGTGATAGAATTCCAGGACGGCAGTGCAGGCAAACTTGCCCAAAAGGGAAAGAAGATATTGGACCCTAATTCGAGGTTCATTTCTCCTCTTGTCAGCACCCTGCTCCCCACACATTGGACCTTGAGGACCTCATTTGAAGTAGCTTCTGGAAAAGATTCCCAGTTGCTATGTGCGGGGAGGGAACTGACAGAGATTTTAGAAAGCACCGCCTCTCTCAGGACTTTGCATGGTAATAGGATGCAGTAAGACCCCCAGGGGCCTACAGGGCCAGGGAGCCAGGGGTGGCAGAGGTGTCCAAGGCCACTACAACTCTGCCTGGAAGGTGCCCTGATCCCCTGGTGCAGTCACCGTTCCCAGCCCCCACTGCACACACAGCGTCTCCTTTAATGCCGACAACCACACTATGAGCTGCACGACATCCTCATCCTCAGTTGTTGGAAACTGAGGCTGAGCAAGGCAGCAGAGGTCTATGAACAGGGACTGAAACTGAAATCAAAATGCTTTGAATGGATCAATAAGCATGCTTCCCTCTGCCGCCTTACCTATTCCACTGTCCGTTTCTCATCTATTAAATGGAGGTTGCGTGTTGAGGGGGAGACAATGTCGCTTCAGAGAAGGGCACAGCGGTGGCACACAGCCCAGGAAGGCAGGTCCCAGGAACTTGCAGAGTGAGAAGGTGGAGGCCACAGGAAGGCTCGAATGGTGGAATGATGGCAGTAGGAGGCAAAATTCCTCAAGGCTCAAACTTTTACTCAAATCAGGCCTCTGCCCCTCTCCTGCCCTGTCCCCATGGCCATCAGAGGTAGGAATCTGGAGCTGGGGTGAAGATGAAAGCTGCACACAGTCAAGGAGGCCCAGACTGATGCCATGGCCTGCTGAGCGCAGAACCAAGGAAGTCGAGGCAGCAGCAGGTCCTAGTGACTGCTTCTCCCAAGGGAGGGAGTGGGGCTGAACCAGCGAGCGCTGGATCCTGGGCTGGCTGCCAGCTGCCAATGCTGACAGCAAGTGGGGCTTCACTGGTGCAGGTAATTGAACTAATGGAGTGAGCTGCCAAGGATGGGAGGCTTAGGCAGCACTTAGGGCTATGAGCCTTGGAATTGGTATCTTAGTGCCTCGAGCCACAGGTGGGAGGAACTCACTTCCAGCACTTCCTGTCCGTGGGGAGGGGACCCAGGGGCTCTTGCACTTCTGGGGCAACTTCTGGGGCACCCTCTGGCTGGTGGAGATGGATGACGGAGGGCTCTTGAGGAGGAGGGAATGGCACACACAAGGCATGGAGTTGTGAAAGAATGGGATAACATGAGAGCCTGCCAGTTAGGCAACAGGGCAAAAAGGAGGTGGCATCAGTGGACTAGGATGCTGGATGGGGTCAGGAGCTGACCTCGGAATAGCCACATGTGGGGGGAGGCTGCGCACTGACCTTGGAGCTGGGACTTTCACAGCCAAGGTCTGCCATGAACTCTGTGTCCTTCGACAGGTTGTTACTTTCTGTGCCTCCATAGCCTCAGCTTTTGAACTGAAGACAGTGGCCTCCATGAAGTGAGAAGAAAGAGCAGACACTTATGCAATTTGCAAATCGCAGAGTGCTTAGCTATTTGGACTTAGAGGGGGGCAGAAACAGCTAAGACAATCCCCTGAGCCTCTGCAACAGGAGGGCTGCAGGTCAGCCAGGAAATGACTGTGCTGAGAGAGAGGGGGCGTACACAGAGAAGAAACCAAAGTGGGCCCCAGGGAGAGGTGCAGGAGGGCAGGAGCTGACGTGGTTCCAGCAGGAGACCAGACGTGCCCGGTGGGCAGGATTTCTGGTGTCTCATGGCAGAGTCAGCTCAGCTGCTTCCTGCACAAGCAGTGAGAGTCCTGGCAGGCCCACAACTGTCAGTGGGCTGTGCGCACACACGCTGACTGTCCGGCGTCTCGGCGCATGGCAGGACTGCATACTCCTGCTGTCACAGTTCTGCAGGGCCAAGGGACACACTATGGAAAGCCAGCACGTGACTCACCCTCAAGGCGACTCCCTTGCTGCCCCACCCCATCTCTCGGCTCTTTGGGCCAACTTCTACCTGCAGTGTCTGCATCTCTGCATACAGGCTTTTCCCAGAGCACAAAGACAGCTCTGCCAGCAGGCACAGCAGGCCAGCCGTGCTGGGGAATGATACCTGTCACCTTCTTTCAGTCAACGACTCACCTCTGAGGCGGGCTCAGGTGGGATTTCCCATAGGATCAAATTCATTTACCCACAGTGGCGGCTGGCTCAATGCGCAGTCTTTATCGACTGCCTTCCTTTCCCTGCGGCATCTCCCCACTCCACACCAGCGTACCTCACGCCTCCCAAATAAGCTACTTGCCCTTATATCCATATTCCCAGGCCCATTTCTGGACAACCATGCTCCTCTTTCCTGCCATGATGAAAACCCACAGGACAAACCACTGGCAATTTCCCAGAGAGAGGCTGCTATGTCATCCCAGGCCTTGGGTGAGAAGTGGAAGCTTCGGGCTGGGTTGATTCACCATGAACAGGGAGCAAGAATAAGAAACACACTGAAATTTGGGGATTGCTTGTTACTACCCATAACCGCACCCACTCTGACTGATGCAACCACTACCTTTTCCTCATAGGCTGCAGAGACATGTCTAATTTAAAGCCTGCTGTGAAAGGCAGAGGCAGGGGGCATGTGAATGTACACATGCACGGTGGCGAGGTGGGGAGGCAGGGAGAGGGGCAAATTGGAAGGGAAAAGGAGGAGCCAGTTAGAAAGGAAGGCTGGCACAGGCAAAGAGGTGGCCTAGGACCCTTCATTGGAGAGGCCGAGTTAGAAAGGAGAGAGATCAAAAGGCCAGAGGTGCAGTGACAAGGGGCCAGAGTCACGTGGCAAGCAGGTGGCTGAACTAAGCCTGGGGCTTGGTCTTCCTGCCTCCAGTGCTCTCTCCTCTGAGCTCACTGCCCCATCCCCCAGGCCTGAGGGGGCTTCCCTTCATCCAGCCTCCCTGGAATTGCAGGGAGAAGTGCACAGCAGGACTCTAACCACCTCTAACCACCACTCCAGCCCCCCTCTGGGGAAGTGGCAGGCTAAACTCACACCAGTGCTGGTCCCCAAGCAGGTATGGGAATGATCCCCAAAGGCTCTTTTGCTTGCAAGAAACACAAATGGACTCTCACCAGCTCAAGCCAAAAACAAGGGTTGAATTGGGGAGATATTGGGTCTCCAAGGTGACAACATGGGCTCTGGAGAAAGCAAAGAAAGCAGCTCTTGGGATGCGGCCTGCACCGTGCAATTTCCCATAAAGGGGTCCCTATTTATGTATTTCACTATCTGCTCAGGTAAAAATTCAAATTCCTGCAAAAAGAGTCTCTCTGGCTAGCTCCAGTCGGTGTTCTTACTCCCCCACCTAAATCCTGGACTTGAGGGAAAGAGTAAGCTGGGGTCCAAGCCCGAGGCTGGTCATTTCCTGGAGAATGGGGTGGGCATGGCCAGCTGGGTAGACCAGAAGTCAAGTTTGTAAATGGAATCTCTTCTGCCATCTGCCTCCTCTCTGAAGGTCCTGCTCTTCATTTTCCCAGAGGACAGGGGTCACTGTCACTCCATTCAACCCTCACTGAGGCTCCTATTGTTGTAGCACAAACATCAAGCACCGTGGACAGATCCTCACACCCCTTGTGAAGACCCACGTGTCCACCAAGCGCAGTAACAGGAGGCTGAGGACCTGGGGCCTGGGGCGATCTGGCTGCGGTGGAACCCCTGGCTGCTGGTCTCTTCACCCAGTCAGGGGAAGGTCAGGCTGAGTCAGCCAGCACAGTCACACGTGGACAGAAAGTTCTAGAAGGTGCTTGAACCCACTCTCCTAGTTCCTACATGGAAGACTTCAGGGTTATCAAGACATCCGGAGCCAGGTTTCATTGACTCACCACACTTGAGACTCTGTGTTTTTCCTAGACAGGGGGACCCGCCCTTTGACTGCAGAACCGCCCCCACCGTTGTCTCAGCTCATTCCCTTCCCTGCCCCCTCCACTCCCTTAGTACTGTCTCTGGGTGTCTCTAGGCTGAAATATCCTCCTGCTCTTTGGAGGGATGTGACCAGAGGCCTTGTGTTGTTATTTTCACTCCTGGTCTCATAACAGTCCCTGTGGAAGGGAAGAAAAATGTCAGCTAGATAAAGACACGGAGCATAAAGAAGGGAAAAAAACAAAGAATGACATCTGGGAAAGTTTAGACAAGAATGGCCTGGGTAGAGCTGAATTAGGGAGGAGGGAGAAGGTCAGCACCTGGGGGCTGGGGGACCCAGAGGGCTGGCTGATGACAGCAGATGTCTGGCCAGGGCTTTCTTCCTGATGGTCAGAGGCAGCTCACTGAGCTCGGCTGGAGCACGAGCTACATGCTAAGCACCTTCCGCCCTTGTGTCATTAACCCACAGGACAGCCCTAGGGGGACGCCACTACTGTCAGCTCAGGTAGAAGATGGGGAACCTGAGTTTCAGGGGGGTAAGCAACTTGCCCAGGGTCTCATATGCAACCTGGACACCATCCCAAAGCCATCTGACTCCAAACCCTAACCACTCAGCTTGCTGGACTCCCCAGACCTTCATGTTTGGAGGTTCAGAGGAACTGAGTAGTCTGAGATGGTAGAAATCTTGGGTCACAACCTTCACCTAAGACTAGACTCGCTAAGACCAAAATCCTGTGCTCTGGCAGATAGGCTGGCGAACAGAAACTAGCTGGGAAATCTGAAATAACTGAATCCTAACCTCTTACTATTGGGTTACCCAGGGCAACACTACTTCTATGAACCTCAGTCTCCGCCTCTGTAAATGGGCTAACAATGCCTGCCCTGCAGGGCACGCTGACTCGGCTCAGATACTCAGGGGGAGATGTCCCTACATTCTTGCTTCCTCAGCATCATCTCCTCTGGGGGGCAGGGTTTCAGGGGCTCAGCACAGTCCCTGGTCATTGGATGGGACACCCACATAAGCTTCGCCCCCCCCCCCCCCCCCGCTACAGACCCAGTTTTGCTTCAGCTTTTGGGAAAAAGGTATCCAAACCATTGACTGGGCAGGGATGCAGTGACCTCAAGGAGAACTAGAACCAAGGCACTGGGGCCAGCAGGCCGGGGTCACACTGTCTTACCTCTGATTCTCTGGGTGTTGGGCCCCTTCAGACAGCTTCTCCCGTGCTGCTGTTCCAAGGCTTTCTGAGAACACCAACTTTCTCTTCAATTCCACTCACAAACAGGAAAGACACCAACTGATTACCCTTCACCTTCTCATCCAATATTGAGACCCAGAGTCGGCACAGGACTGTGATTGGCCAGGCTTGGGTCAGGTGATCACTCTTAGGCCAATCATTTTTGGCAAGATGGCCACTCCCATTCAGAGCCTCACTGGTGCAGAAATGGGCTGTGCTTTGCCCAGAAAAAAAGAGGTTTTGAACAAGTGAACAATTATCTTTTGTTTTTCAAGTCCCAGTTCTCTCTGCTTTTAATTATTCCCACTCCTGAGATCTGCGTTTCCACCTCCATCCTTGCTCTGGCGATGAGGTCTTTGTTTCCATCCACTGAGTGCAGTTGTCCTGATGAATCAGCCTGATGGACTTGCAGGCCCGATGGGTTTTCCTGAGTTCGGGGAAGTTTTCCTTCCCTCCACCTCTCTTAAATGTCTCTCCTCCTCTGTCTACCGTGTCAGCAATTCCACTCTTGGAGATTCACTTTTTAGCTTAACCTGGCTTTTTCCCATGAACACTTGCACGTGCTCTGCGAGCGGGCACCCACAGGACAATCATTTATGTTAGCACGAGTGGTTTCATCAGCATTTCCTCCATTTGGGTGGGGAAAGGAGGGAGAGGGAGCCAGGGCCTGAC